CTCGCTTCTTCCGCTGTTCCTCTAGTCGCTTCTCCTCCGCAGCCTTGGCCTCGGCTTCCTTGGCTGCTCGTTCGGCTTCCTTGCGAGCCTCCTGTTCCGCCTTCAGCTGCCGTTGCTTGTCCTTCTTCTCCTTGCGCTTCTGGGCTTCCTTTGCTTTCTTTGCCTCTTTCGCATCTTTCCGCACATCCTCCTCTGCCAATTCTTCGAGTAGCTTTTGCTGTCGTTCCGCGGCCACCTTTTCTCGATACGCCTGGAGCACTCTCTGCTCAAACATTCGCGCTGCGAAGATCTGGAACATTCGCCGGCCTTCCTCCATCCGTTGCTCCTCGGTCATGGCGCCCTGGGCGGGGTTAGTTGCAGATAGATAGTCCAGCCTAGAATACGCACTTCCTCATCCTCCTCGTCCTCCTCGTAGTCGTCGTCGTCGTACTCTTCCTCGTCTTCGCCCTCTTCGTCGTAGTCGTCTTCGTCGGGCGGAGGCGCGCTGTGGCTGTGGCCGCTGTAGGATCGGTGCTGGGCGCCGGGGTGAGCCTGGACTTGAGCATCTTCTTCCCGTTGCATCCTACGCTCAGCGAGCTGCTCCATCATCTCGATGAACTTCTTCCCATCGTTCTTGAGCAAATCGTCAGCAACCGTAAGTATGCCACCTAAAAGGATGAATCAGCATGCTCCCAGCACGGGTCGGGGGCGGGCATACCTTTGACCTGCAGACTGCTGCCAAACTGGAGGAAGTCTGAGGGCTCGGGCGGCGGCAGACTGCGCTCGCCTGAGCTGTAGCCGCCTTCTGACGAGATCTCGCTGTCGTACTCGGAGTCTTCCTCCTCTTCCTCGCCCGAGTCGTACTCTTCTTCGTCGTCGTCGTAGGGGCCGGGCGGGGGGTGGGGGTTCAGCATGGGGCGCGGGTGGTGAGGAGCACTGGACGCATAACCATAATTAGCCTCGGGAATGAAACTACCGACGTCTTGCTGGTGGTGCGCGTACTGCTCGAGTTCTTCGTAATATGCATCATAGAGAACCTCCAGCTCCTCCTCGATGGCGGTGCGCTTCCGCCCGCAGACGGTGCAGCTGCACGAGTGCTTCTGCTGCTCCTTCATCTTGCGCAGGACCGCCTCCTTTTCGATCTTGACGAGCGACTTGCGCTCGTCCTCGCCGAGGGACAGCCAGAACTCGCGGATGCGGTCCCGCTCGTCCTGCATCGTCGTGTTCCATATGCGGTCGCCGCGGGCGCCGGAGCGCGCGACCGAGTGGGCGGGCGACATTTGGTGGGCGGGTGCGGGGCTGAGGCGTGATGCGACGTGCTGGGTGTAGGCCAGCGGAGGGGGTGCGGAGGGCGCCTTCTTCTTCCGCCGCGTCTTCTTGCCCGCTTGGCTGCGCATTGGGGCGTGGCCGTAGCCCTGCGGGTAGTCGCCGTTTGTGCCGTACGCGTGCTCGTACTCCTCGTCCGAGTAGTACTCCCCCTCGTCGTACGCCGCCTCGTCCAGCTCCGCGTCGGCGTACTGCTGCTGGCCGGGCGGCCCTCGGGCAGGCGACACGCCATTCCGCGCGGGCGCAGGCGCAGGCGGCTCCTGTGCGGCTCGCTTGGCGGCCTCCTTCTCGCGTCGCTTCTGCTTCTTGCGGTTGACGGCGGTCGGGGTGGCATCGTGGGCGTGCGTCGCCGTGCCGTTGGGCGGCAGTTGAGCCGGGGCGGGCCCGCGTGTTCCCTGGGCCATGGGGGGAGTGTGTGTGTGTCGCGGTGTCCTGCTGCACGGCTGTTAGAGCGCGGGTCTGGGGAGTCGAGTGGGTGACAGCTCGGGCGATGGCGCGGGAGGGCTAGCGTACGGCCACCGGGGAGCAAAAGTGCGAGGTGGAGGTGGAGGAGAGGAATTGGAGGGGCGTCACGCACACCAGGGCAGATGGGGGGCTTCGTGCTGTGTCGCGGCAGACAGGCGTTCAGGCTTTGGGGTATGACGGTCGTGTGCTCGGGCTCGGGCTGCTAGCACATGCCGCGCTGTCGTAGCCTCTTGTTGATGGTCGTCGGCCCATTGTGGTACCGCGTTGCGATTCGCACCTGCCGCAGGTGCCACGTCTTGGCGTCTTCTGGAACGGAAGGAACTGGGCGAGAGGCTGTGCAGTGCAAGTGCTCCGCGACGGCCATTCATTCGTATCTCAACACACTCGCTCTCGCACACCGCACCCTGACCACGCCAGTGCCAGCGTCCCCCGACCCCAGCCCAGCCGTCTGTAGCTCTAGCTCGTGCCTGTCTCCGCTGTGATCGTCCCCAAGCTTCATTCTTAAACACCGGCCCGTCCACTTCATTACTGCACCACCGCTTTTTGCTCCCCATCACCCATTGCTGTCGCTGGACTCACGCATTGCTTTCACCTTCACCTCGACACCCATCCACCGACACTCACCACCCCTCCGGTAGTCTGTCGCTTCTATCCGCCCCGGCGCGCCATTGACACTCGCTCGTCGCGAGCCATAACATCGCCAATCACCATTGTTGGGCCCGAGATCACCTCGCTCGCGCCATTACACTCGCATTACCCCGACAACACCCTCGACAACACTCTCGCGCAAACAAGGCTACTTCACTGTATCCTTCCACCCGCGCACCACTCCCCTCGACTTCCACGACACCACGGCCGCAACTGCGAACGCGCTCCAGCCAATAACACCACCCAGCATCTCCGGACAAGACTCCCGCTGAGTGCGGCATTTCCCCAAACACACCCCCACAATGGCCCAGCAGCAGCAGAATGGCGAGCCTGTAATGCGCAGGTACGTTTGATCTTCACTTTCTGGACCCTGGTCAAAACCTATCTCATGTCGATCTCTCACGACCGTTTTCTTACGCGCGCAATTGCTTTTCCCAACGTTATTTCCTTCCGTCCGACTCTCTTTTGACGACACGAGATGTTCATTTCGTCGGCAATTCCTCTGTCAATTTCTGCTTCACTTCTCCCTCCGCAATGGTGCGATGCATACCCAAAGCTGAGGCACCCCGGTTTGCGCCATAGCTTGCATTGGCGCACCCGGTCCGACGACACGACCAACTAAAAATAGGCCACCCTACATGTCCCCCATGTCCACTTTTTATCGACTCGCGCTCAATTCTTGCTCTTTTTGGTCATGCACTGCACTTCATCCTCTTGTTTGCGCCGACATCCACTCTCGGTCACGCCGACGCTGTCACACCATGCACCCTTCACCCACACAACATGCTGATCTTGTGCCTTTAGGAAGTTGGTCATTATTGGCGACGGTGCTTGCGGCAAGACTAGTCTTCTGAGCGTCTTCACTCTCGGATATTTTCCAACAGTACGTCCAATACATCGACCGATAAGCCGTCTCCCCAATATCCTAACCCGTCATTAGCGCTACGTCCCTACCGTCTTTGAAAACTACGTCACCGACTGTAGAGTAGACGGCAAGTCCGTGCAACTCGCCCTATGGGATACAGCCGGCCAAGAAGACTACGAGCGCCTCCGTCCCCTCGCCTACAGCAAAGCGCACGTCATCCTCATCGGCTTCAGCGTCGACTCCCCCGACTCCCTCGATAACGTTAAGCACAAGTGGGCAGAGGAGGCCCGCGAACGCTGTCCCACCGTCCCCATCATCCTCGTCGGCCTGAAAAAAGATCTCCGCGACGACCCCCTCGCACAGGAAGAAATGCGCAAGAAGAGCCTGCGGTTTACGACACCGAAACAAGGCGCCGATATGAAGGATATGATTGGCGCGAGGAAATACCTAGAATGCAGTTCCCTGACAGGGGATGGCGTGGACGATGTTTTTGAAGCGGCGACCAGGGCGGCGCTGCTGAGTGTGGATAAGAAGGAGAATCCCGGGTGCGGATGCGTTGTCCTGTGAGACTTTGAGAAACCGTTTCTCTTGCATCTTATATCTTCTTCTTATCTTCATATCACACACACTGCATTGGGCGGAGTCACGACACACTGGAGTTGGTACGATATATTTGGGGCCTTCAATTTTCCAATCTTCTTCCTTTTCTTCTTCTTTACGGGCGATTTACTGTTTGAGCGCTTACAATTGCATTACACAGAATCTTTTTTTTTTCCTGTTTTTGTTTGATTGAGCTGGAAAGAGAAAAAGACTGGCTGTTCAGATGCTGCGTTGGAAAGCGAGAGGCGGAAACATACGTTGGTCGGGCGAGCTCTAGCTTTATCTACTCGAAAGATGTTGGCTTAATGATTGACGAGAGAAAGCGCCATCATCATCCACTCATTTTCGGCTCCTTTTGGCAATTCAGTTGTATATTCTTGAGAGAGGAATGATGGGCACGCTCGGTAAACTAGAATACAAGTAATCTACCAATGAGATATTGCACGCATCCTTGTTATTCGTCTTCGGAGAAACGTGACGGCAATGAATGTATGCGTGATGCTAATAACGACATCGACCGCCTCATTGATATATACATATACTACAATCCCATCATTTCATCCACGTCCGTCCAAAACAACGCATTCTCGCAGGTCTCTAATCCCTCGTCCACCCATGATTCCACCCCTCCCTCGCCGGAAAATCCGTCTGCACCCTCCCATACTCCACCGGCACACTCCCCCAAATCCCCCTCTTCAACATCGCACTGCGATACAGTCTCCCCACCTCCCTGCCCTTGCTTCCCAATCGACTCGGATCCGCGCCCCGACCTCCAGCCTCCTCTTCTTTAACTAAATTGCCGTTGTTGTCCATGAGGCGGAGATGCTCGCATGCAGATCGCATGGCCATGTATTGCCGTTCTAAGGTGCGTTCTTCGGCCCAGCGACGTTTGCGTAGGAATAAGAGCCAGGCGCGGTGGATGGTCCAGTGCCGGAGGGAGCGGTTGCGGGAGAAGTGGAGGGGGCGCGGGGTTAGGGGGTGGGAGAGGTGGTAGCGGATGTTTGCTGTGGGGGGTGTTAGCTGGGGTTTTGTTGTGGTGGGAGGGCTGGTGGAATGGATTGGATGAGATGGGATGGGATGGGGAAGGTTTGATGCGTGTGGAGGGGGAGAGACGTACTTATCCTAGGATCATTCCCCGGCCCCTTTTTACTCCTCTTCTGCATATTTGGTGTCGATGAGAAAGCTGCTCGTTGCGACTTCTGCTGCTGCTGCGGACATGTCCTTTGTGCGGTTCTCTGCCAGATGTTTGTGGATTGCGTGAGTTGGGTGGGCTTGTAGGGTCGGAAGACCGGTCGGAATGCGGAGAGGTTCATTGTGGGTGGCTTTTGAGGCGCAATGGTGGGGGCAAGGCGGACGTGGGTTGTTGGTGTTGGTGATGATGGTCGGTCTGGAAATTCGCGATGCGCGGAGACACCCTTGTTCGCCAAGAGGAGCTAGTGGGTTGGGGAGGGACGACTCGAACTTATGATGGACATTGCTGCGCAATAACAACAACAACAACGATAACTCGACGAGCCCTGCCATGCACAGAGAACTAGGGACTCGAAATCTTAGCTTTGAGTGACGGGATCGCTGTGATATGATGCCAACCTCACTAATGACAATTGCCTACACATGCGTCCAGACCTTCTACAACACGCCCAAGACTCGATGAGATTTGAACGAGGCCGGTAATTGAAAGTCCTTCCGGAGCCCAGCGCGTAAAGTACCGTCTTGAAACCCGCTCTAGGTGTCTCCAGCGTTGGAAAGACCACATCTGCTCTCACTTCGAGGGTCGGCTCGACCGCACCTGCCTCATGTGCAACAGCCGAGTAAACGTGCATCGCGTCGTCATGCCACTGACGAAACAAGACTCATCACCAGTTCTCTTACCTAGGTAGCTTCACGCACGCACAAACAGTACTCACTTTTGTGCAAGTTCTACTTCATCAGACCTTCAGCTCTCTTTCTTCATTCCGCTACTTGCAGCTGCACTTTCCTCTCACCGTCTACAACTGAATCTTCCGTCGTACCTACCCCAGGAACCTATACGCCACCACTATGAAGTCATTCACATACACTATCTCCGCCATCCTGGCCCTCCTCACAGTCACCGTACCCGTCATCGCCACCTCAGGATCAAAGCCCGACAGATGCCCTCATCGCGCTGCAACCCGGTGCTCCCCCGGTGGCCACGCGGTCCAGATCTGCGTCAACGGTGTTTGGCAGAGGAACTACAGGTGCCCTTACCCTCAGTGGTGTGAGACCGCCTCTGCGCACTGCATTGGACGATAGATGGCTGCTGGCATAGGTATGGTAAGTGTCGAGACTTCCTCTATGAGGCATTCGCTGACCAGAAGACGATAGTCTGAGCATGCAGTGGCAGAGCGGTGGCTAATACGATGGGGATGCTTCGATAAAGGAAGGCGATCGAAAGTGAGAGCTGTGGAGTCGATGCTATCATCTAGCACCCATCGTCAGGCGTGATCTGTTATGTTCACAGAGATTTTACGAACGAGCTACCCTCCGTTGTTCCGATGGAACAAATCATGCTCACAGAATCAACGGATGGGTTCGCTGTACTTCTTAACAAACACATCAATATTTCCATGATCTGTCGTTCACGTAAAGCATTAATTGAACATCCCCAAGACCTATATAGCAGCCCGCTTGCTCATATCCACAGTACCTTCGTCATCTACCACCACAACATCTCCATCACTACACAACAAATTCCAACCCACCAGCAGTAACAACAACTCTCCACCAAGACCACCAACAACATGAAGTCATCCACACCCCTCATCCCCATCTTCCTCACCCTCCTCACCCTCACACTCCCCACTCTCGCCAACGACGCCCGCGGCCCCAAGTGCACGCCCGGTGCACCAGACCGCTGCAGCAGAGAAGACGACTACACCCTTTCACATTGCACCAATGAAGGTAGGTTCTGACTGTACGAAGTGCATGTGAGACATATACTGACTTCGTACCTTTATCTCTTCAGGCTTTTGGGAATCATACATTGTGTGTCCTTGCGGCAAGTGTAAAGATGGGGAATGCATCTATCCTCCCGAGATGAATCCGAACTGGCCGGGAGCGTGTGGTGGCGGGGATTGAAGTGGTGGGGATGCGTTGGGAGGTGGCTTTGTGGGGAGGGGGGGTGGAGTGAGATGACTGATGCGAGGTTTAGGAGGGCGGGGGTAGTCAAGGGCGTTGGGGCGGGAGAATATGGGTGGATTGTGCTTGAATGGTCTTTGGAGATGGATTTTTGGATGGTCAGATGGCTGGGTACATGCAATGCTGGGGTGTGTATCAAAGCTTTTGAATCGATGCAGCATTGGAAGCTTTCTTGAGGAGGGGGTTTGTCGAGGATACTCGGAGTAGATGTGCTTTTTTACGACACTATTGGCCTTTAGTGACAATCGAACGATAAGAAAAGTCAACATACTTGGAGATCTAGCGCACTGACTCTGATATCGAGGGTCAAGACGAAGGTTGCCGTCTCCTCCACCGCTCTTGCTGGCTTTCGAGAAGATCAATGTAGCTTCAATCAAACGCTCAAGTAAAGGTGATGGCAAAACATGCCGTCTTCTCCACCGCTTTGCCTCATCTCCTGACGTCTCCGTGACCACACCGACCTGAAAACTACGTCTCTTACTTTCCCAAACCTCCGGTAGCATATATACTCCCCTCCCTGCAGCTCTCCTCATCCCCTTCCTTCTCCTCCATCACTCACACATTCATCCTCAAACCCAGTCCCTCAAAACACCAACACACATACCAACCAACTGTTACCCACCCTCAACACCAAAATGAAGTCACCTCTGCACCTCATCTCCCTCCTGCTCAGCGTCCTGCTCCTCATCCTCCCCGTCTTCGCCATCGACAAATGCGACAAATGCTCCAACAACGGCGCCGAGTACTGCAACCGCGGCAACGGCGACCTCCTCGAATGCAAGGACCACTGCTGGCAGAAGAAGTGGTCGTGCCCCAAGGGTCAGCAGTGCGTCATGAAGCCGGGTCCTACTTGCATGGCTAGCGGGGATGTGTGTAAGATGTGTCATGATCAGTACAATAACTGCCGCGCGGTAAGTTGACTTCGAAAGCTTGGTGATTAGGATGAAGAGACTGTGCTAATGGTTTTTTTTTTACAGGGCAACTGTGACAAGAACTGCTACGCCAAGTGCCACAACGATGTCTGCAATGCCTATGATGGCAGGTGCAAGGCTTGCAATCTTCAGTGTTAAGCGGCTGCTTGCACTACCTCTTTACTTCTTGACGAGAGAGAGAATTACCGGGATTCCTTGGCTAAGGATCTGATGACTTGGGTATGGTTCGGTATGGGATATACGGATACATGACTCTGAGAGACCAGAGTTTAGAGGAATAAGAAATACTTACACTGGAAATCTAAATGGGAAATATGGCTCATGAACCTTGACGAAATCACATGGCGTATACATCAGTGCATATGACTCTAACGTTTAGAGCTTGTATAGCGCTATCGCATTAGATGCGTAAAGTTGGTAGTGAGCAAAGTGTCTCTCACGATTGATGACAACAAATTTTGATGGCCTGGACACTTGAGAGGATGACGGCACAAGAAGGCTTGATTCGCTGGACGACTTCGTGCCCTAAGATCACCAACCAAGTGTGGATAGCAACGACATAAACGAAGAAGAATCCTTCTTGACATTGACAATGACAATGAAAGTAGGAGAAAGTTGGTTGTTGAGGCTGGCAATTGGGATAGAGACCGAGGTGGTCCAGGGGTCCTCGTGGCGGGGTAACGCGCTAATTGAATTAGCGCAGGAGCCTCAAACTTCATCTGGGGCACATGCAATCCCTTCTCTTCAATCACCAACGACTATTGAACTATTGCCGCGCCTCCATTGGGCCCTTGCGCTGCAGCTTCTGTCATTATCGTCACTTATCGGTCGAGTCGGGCTCGATGCGTCCACCATTCCTTGCCAAATCGTTTTCTGGCATACATTGTATCGTCCCCTTCTTGGACTGAGTAGCTGGCTTCCCCCCAATGCTTCGGTAATTGATGGCACAGTCGCAGGCTCTATTAACGCGCGATCTACGTTCTCTGATTTTGCTGGACCGGGCAGACCCCGAAAGCGACGACGATACGTCAAGCTAGCAGAGAGGATTACCGGAGCGTGTCTCATGCTGTTTGTCTCATTCAAAACTTTGAAGTAGACGCTTCATTATTGTATACACGTTGTCTTACAGGCTGAGCGAACACGTCTTTAATCTTCTTTTGGATGGAAAGCTGCGGCGAAAGTCTACCACTGCCAGCGCAATCGCGATACGTACAAGTTTCTTTCGTCTCAAGTCATTTATCGATAGACCATTTGCGAACGTCGAACTGAGACTCCGCAGTTCAAAAGAAGACATCTCGTGGAAATAATCGTTGAGACTGTATCTGTTTCAGGGTATCGAATAGGTTAAGCGCGCACAGACTCCGCGTCAGTAGCTCTCTTTTCTCCATACTCTGTCATTTCGTCCAATACTTGCGTCTACTATCTCTTCTTATTTCTGAAAGGACGCGCGTTTGAGCGCCGGCGCTTATCATGGATCATCTACCATCTCTTCTAGTGGATACCTACAAACGGTATGAGTTCGCTATCTAGATCGTCTACCCTGGTTGGCTAACCCCTTCCTTTCATCTCAGATACAAAAGTGGTACGCAAATTGTAGCTACTTGGCTGGCAACATCAGCCGCCAAAATCCAGTCTATAGACCACTTGTTGATCAAGAACGCACGTCTCAAGGGACAAGCTCGCGCTGCAGCCCGACAAAACGGAGTGAGCGAAGTACCTCTAAACGCATTCAAGACCTTGGTCGACATCCTTGCGAAGGCTAAGATCACTTTGCCGACCGATATCGAAGCTATCTTGTGGAGTGTCATCACCGCTCGTAAAGAATGTGCAGGGTTCTACCGAGCGAAACCAGAGCGAGAAGCTGGTGATGACATTGATGATGAAGGCCACCAGTTCTTCATCGACATCCTCGATTACTATTACCACACGCTTAAAGCGCCGACAGCAGGCAAGACCAAGGAAGAACGCGAGAAAGGAGCATCTACGAATAGTCGCACGACCAACTTCTTCGAACACCTCAGTCTGGTCCAAGAGCATGCTGAGCCATCGGAGTACGTGCCTTCGGTGTCGACAGACACGCAGAGCCGAAGCTACCGTATCAAGGAGTCCGCCAACCGAAAGAGTGAAAAGGCCTTTGCGCTTTTCTGTTTCCTCAAAGATATGACAGCAATTCGTTTATTCGTCCACAAAACCTGGCGCGGTTACAAGGAACGTAGCCTGGC